ATCTGGATGAGAAAATTCTAATCTGTAGTGTCAGAACTTTTTATTCAAATAAAGTCTTAGAGAATATTTTAGTATATCAAAACTGATAAAACTGTGCCCAATCATGATGGTTGTTCACATTGATTGCTGCAAACACATTCAATTCCATGGACTTTTCAAGGCAGATTTTAACAATCATTTTTCTAGAAAAATAATACTGGTAACTAAGTGAAAATTTATAACAAGTAGAACATGACTACCCATATATAAGTTAATTTTGAGATAAAATGAGCATATATGTAAAGCTTTTTCATAATCACATACACATGAACATTGTTAAATAATTTTTCCTGCTACTGGAAAATATATAAATAGCATATATATGATTTATAAAGTAGAAGTGTGTAGGAGTGGAACACAAGGGAGATAAAGATAGCCATCGTGAGAAAGGAATCCTAAGACTTCATCTATATCGATTTTTATCTTAAACAACAATTATATGCATCTTATTTAATTGATGGGCTACTATTAAAGGTCTGAATTAATATGTACAGATATCTTGAGAAGAAAGCAGGTGTTTAACATCTGGAAGGGATATACACTGGTACCCATAGTCACTCATATCTGAACAAAAGGAAGAGCAATGGTATAAACATCAACAGAAAGTTTACTGTAAACCTTACATTAAAAAAATAATTTATATTTATAAAGTATTTAGAAAAATAAAACTTTGTTCATAAGCATTGTGCAGAGCATAATTACTTTGGTTAAACAAAATAAGAATGAAAATCGTAATCATAATGAATCTGGCATGCTATTCAATTTTGCAATTTACTTTTCTCCACTAAGTAGAGTTAAATGTTTGTTAATTATACATTGAGGACTTATAATTTACTAGGTATTGTACTAAGTGCATACATAGGCATTGTCATTGACCTAAATCAATACTAAAGCTTGCCTTCTTGGAGCCTAGAATGAAGATAGACAATGCAAGATAAGAATAATGAAAATTTAAATTAAAAAATAAGTAAGGTGTTAAGTGCTATTGGAAAGCATAAAAGATAAGAGTGAGGCCAGGTGGGACTGGGAAAGCTAGGGATGAGGAGAAGTGCATAAAGAGAAGGTTAATATTACGTAAGTCTTTAATAAGTATTAAATAAGGTGGTATGGTTGAGCTTATTGACCTTACCTGAGTTCTGTGTAAAGGTGTTGCAGGCCACCCTAGTCACCTTAGTTTCAGCACTGTTACATTACAGCATGAATTCCATCCCCGGCCAGGGAGGTGACCCACATGACCCAGCAGACCTCTCCTGTCTCACCTGCTGCTCCCCTCAGCAGTGTATTTCAGTCAATCTGCCTGTTCTTGTCCCCACTCTAATTCTGGTGAGCCCCCCCCACACCTCTGACCTACACCCCAGCTCTTGTATATACAAGTTGAGTAGTGTGAAGTTCAGTTAAAAGCTATGCGATGAAGCTAGAATTGACAGAGGTTGTGTTCATGATGATATGAGAGGAGGCAGGTCTGTTCAGTCCTGATTCCTGAGAATGAGAGGTATGGAAGAAAGAATCCTTGCCATCCTTCTCATTAAATCTGGAGAAACATTTAAGCTTTTATAACACAAGAAAGCTTGTAGGTTTAATTATGGCAAGATATTTTTGTTGAGTTTCTAAAATAGCAACTTTCTCTTTTACAAAACCTATAATCTAAATGTACTGAGCATCTAAATATCCAGCACGCACAGCAAATATTTTGTGAAAGCCAATATGCCATTTATTTCTCTCAAAACTCAATGCTATATGTAGGAAAATATGTTTTTTGACAGAAGATTAGGTTTTAAAAAGACTGTCCTGAAATGGTAGTTTGAAATATGTTTGCCTCTACTTGATTTTGTTCCTGAAAACTATTTAAATAGATTTGTTGTAAAATATGCCATTTCTGAATATTTGAAAACTTGTAAACACATTTTCCTCAGAGCTAAATGTTTACCACACAAAGTGGCAATTAATCTGCATGTCCTCTTTAATTCTGGTGAGGCCTTATAAACTAACACCAAAATAAATTACATTTAATACTAAATTTTGAAATGCAAAAGCACATAATGTACAAAACTTTTATAGAACCATTGGGTATTTTCAAATTCTGATGTTCTTTTTGAAAATGGATTGATATATTCCTCCTTCAAATACAAGCATCTACTATATTTGAAGACATTCATCGGTACCCAAACTCCGTCTGGATCGTCTTCATAAATTATCATTAAAACACAGCTTCTGTCTGTGGTTTATAAAATGTATTCATACTTTAAGGCCCAATTAATGTATTACTGCCTTCTTCATCCCTTATCTTACATTGTACTTCTTCCTCTGGGCCTTCATTCCATTTGGTCTTCATTTTTATTTTGTGACATGTTCCACATAATTTTAAGTTCTTTCACCTGCCAACCTACTACTTCTTCAAGAACAAAGACTGTGGTCATCTACTTTCTCTTCTAGGTCTTTCTTTTTTCATTTTATAAGTAGGCTATTTTGCCATTAATGGTAAAACACTAACATGCCAATTGTTATGAAAATACCTCCAGTCAATTTGTTTTTCTAGAGCTCATAACACTATTCCCTCGTGCTTGAAATTCTCTAGGCATCCCCTAAGCATTGCAGAATGAGCACATCACCTCATCACAACAACTGTCAATTATGTGCAGAGACAGTCCCACCGTGGGAAGAACCCATCTCAGCTCTGCTGCTCACTGAACAGTTCTATATCTATTTCCCTACTCCATTTTGCAATGACAGTGACATAAACTAAGGGACTGGTTGAAAAAGAAGCACAAGATGTGGCTAATTGGACATTCCACATTCCAATTTGTCTATGATAAAGTTATCTAAATATATTTGCATTTTTGAAAACCGTATCCCACCAGTTGAGTAAAAATGAGGTCTTTGTTAATGCTGCTTTTGCTTTGTATTGAACTATTTTGTCTTTAATATTTTAATGACCTAAAGATTATTCCATTTAAGCTCCAGGCAACATAGGCTGATTGTTATAGTCATACATAGATCAAGTTTAACATATAAAAGAGGAAATGTGAGAAATCCAAAACATCTTATTGACTGGGTATTAGTGTAATGATTAATTATGGTTCTTTTGCTATAACTGCATCAAAATTATTGATCAATACATAAAGAATTTAAATGAAACATCTGGCATTCATTTGAGTATAATTAACAAAATACCAGACTAGCTGTTCCTTAGGTAATAAAAACACTTAGATATCCCAAGTTATACCAAGTCTTGGGAAAGTTCTAGGATGTGTTTTCAGCAATTATTATCAGGGATATAGTCTCCTTTTATTTTTCTTCTCTGAATACTCAGAGTGTTGGTTTTGGCTCTTTAAGCTTCCTGTTTGATGGCCTCAAAACTGATTTTAGAAATTGAAGTTTCATATCCTCATATGACAGGATTTAAATAAAAGGAGAAAAACATTCAAAGAAACAGTGTAGTTCAAGAAAACCTCCTGCTGATACAGTCTCTTTTGATGAAAATGCAGTATCCTTCTCAGAAATCATTCATCATATTAATTGTTACAATGCATAATCTAAATATGCCACGTCACCATTCTGTCACTAGAGAGGGTAGAAACTTAATATCTGTCAAAGGGAAATGAGATTAGTCTCTGGCTTGAATCTCTGGTGTTTGCCAACTGAGGTGCCTTCCCTGACACAAAAGTGCCCCCCTAATCCCAAAACACCATTGTGCTTTCACTATTCAGGAAGAAAAGACTAGAACACTGATACAGAAATGTTTATATGGGTCATTGTGAATTTTAAATAGGTGAATGAAGGCCAAGGTTTTAGAAGCAGAAATCCTTAGTTAAACTTAATTACCAGCATTTCAGCCAATGTATGAATTTCTAGGTCCAACTTGAATTACAGCTTACTTTTAACAGTGCACCAAGAAAAGGCTTACATTATGAATTAAAATCTGGAAAACATTTTCAGTTTATAAGACAGAGCTTTGGAAAGAAAGATATTTGAGATCTGATGGCTGTTTTAATTGAATACAACTTGTTTTATATTATAAAGTTAGAAAATATGTGCAACTATCTACTAGAGGAAAGTACTTCAAAAAGGTATTAATAGTGAATGTATAAATTGAAATTAAGGTGAGTGAAATAACTTTCTGGCAGCGTTGTTTACAGAATTTTGTTTTAAGTAATTGTTAAGTATTATAAATGTTAGTAGGAAAAAACATCAACCAGCCAAATATGGTGTAATAAGTTGCTTTTCCTCCTCTCTGTGGTTTTAGAGTCCTCATTAAGAGAACTAAACTATGGATTTTTTTTTTAAGATTTATTTATTTATTCATACAGAGATGTGGAGGGTGAGAGGATTCACCAGAAAGAGAGCAGGCAGCAGAACAGGCAGATCGAAGTACACTGCTGAGGGGAGCAGCGGGCGGGTCAGGAGAGGTCTGCCACACCATGTGGATCTCCTCTGGGGCAGGCGAGGATCGAACTCATGCAGAAGTGGCTTTAGCTTTTTAGTGGAGTGTCTTAACCCGCTGCACCACCAGGGAGGGCCCTGGAATGGGTTTTTACAATTACAACCATACATCCAATTATTAGAGTTATAGCATTTAAGATGAATCAATTTACATGACCAACATTGTGATGGAAAAATCTGGTAATATAATGAACACAGTCCTCCACTTTTTCAACAATTGATTAAAATTGTTAAATATTAGTCATTAATATTTTGAGTTTTAAATCCTTTTCCAACACTCAATTTGCAAAGAAAGCAAAGAAATACAAAAAATATATAAAATTGTGCAAAAATAAGCAAACTTAGGTCTGTGTAAAGTATCAAAGTTCTATATTGATCAAATAAAAATTTACAAACACAGATAATTGGAAACATAAATGTTTAATCTGATCTAAATTCTTGGATTCTTCCATAAATTCTGATAGAATTTAAACTAAAATTTTATTCTGAAATATTTTTGTTTCAACTTGTCTTTACTACAGGCAGTGAGCACAGACCCTGTCCCTGTTAAATTACACTATGACAAATCACATGATCAAGTCTGGGTGCTAAGCTGGGGTACCATGGAAAAGACTTCTCCAACACTACAGGTAAGTTCCTTTAAGAACATTAGAGAACATGATGTCTGAAGCGTTTAGATAAACTCCTTAGACATTTGCAACTAGTTTCCTTCCATCTAAGACTGCTGCTACAAGGAAGAAAAAGTAATGATTTACACTCTGTAATTTCCTTTCTCCCTCCAATTTTCGTAATTTCCTAGTTTCCATCTCTTTTTTCAAGGTGGGCCCGGAAGGGTAGGACTTGTGGAGGTACTCAGGAGAGGTAAACAGACTGTGTAAAGCAGATCCCCATTTTTTTCCAACAGATAGTCAATATGTTATTATCTGATTTTCAATTGGGAAACTCAATATGGTACCATTTTTAGCATTTACTTCTCTTTTGAAGTTATGTGAGAACTTAACAAAGAAATATGTATGTATAGCTCAGTCTTCACCTAACAATTTACCACTCCCTGCTTAATTCTAGCAACAAGAAGGATACACACACACACACACACACACACACACACATGAACTGAAGTTACCCTGTATGTGTAGTGCAGTTGCACTATAGGAGAAGGATCCTGGAATCATAAGTCTTCCTATTTGTCTGTTGTTTTCATTCTGCTGCCACATCAGGCCCTCCTCTCTTTTGAAAGATAGACGCTATTACTCTAGAATGAATGCACATATTCTCCTGGGAGAAGAAGGGTCACTCAGTACTCTGGGATGTCAATAATTTGTTCAAAGAAGATAAGCCCTAAGTCCCTATCTCTCTCAGGAGCAATATACCATCTCTAGCTTCCAAGGACTTTTGCTATGCCATCAACCTTTAGCCAAATTGCCAGTGGCCTCTGCTGAGAAAGAGTTGATTTTACAGAAATATAAAAATATTCATGGATAATTGCTTTTCATGTGATTAACACCCTTAAGGGAAAGTGGATTTAAGATTTGTTTGGAAAGGAAAATAGACTCTCTTTTGGGGAATTGAATTCATCAAAATTGTGGCAAGTTTTCATTTTGGCTACAGTGGTCATGTTTCTGAATGTTGAAAGAGTGGAATGTAAAAAAAATGATGCTAGTTGGAAAATCTAAGAAGTATTTTTTTTTTTTTTGCCTTAACGCCTTATTACAATAGTACCTACTACTTGGATGTGCACAAGCTTTTTACCAAGAATCAGAATGGTGTGCTTATATTTTTATTTTGTGCACTCATTTGATTGCAATCTAATCTATATCTCTTTGCCAGTTATGGAGCAAATTATATTTTTCTTTTATTTTATGATTCATTAATAAAAACACAGCTGTCATGATTTTAGGTATGGAAGACAGTGAATTCCCAATAAGTACTATCTAAAGTATTCACAAAGATATGTTATAACCATTTTTTTTCCTTTTTAAAAGGCATCTCCTACATCCTATGAAAAATTAACAAATGTTCTAATAATCATGAATCTGTCATCTGCACCATTTTACAATTTTTATGTGATGTATTTTCAAAATGCATAATAATTACAGAAGAAAATATCCCCAAAAAACAATTTGGAATGAAGTCCTTACATTTTGTTATTGGCCAGGAAACAGAACCCAGCCAGCTGGGGTGCTAGTGGGGGATGGGGGCTGTGGGCTTGTGAAAGTGTCATACATGGGGAGAGCAGCAGCAGGAGACCACTGGAATGAGTAGGCATGTAGCACGATTGGTCAGATGCCTAAGATTCATCATAGATCAATCTGTGTGTTTTGTAGGCAGTCAGCTCAGTCTTGACCTAACAATCTACCAGTCCCTGCTTAATTCCAGCAGTAAGAAGTATCTAGAAGCATCACAGAACAGTCTAGACTGATTGGAACCAGAGACATGACATTATGTTTTTCATTGCCTAGGACTGTGCCAGGTGCAAGAGAAATGCTTAGCAGATGCAACTGGAGACGCGATACAGCTATCACAGTGTTGTTTGCATATTAAATTTTATGTTGCCCAAAAATAATGTGGTACACACGTTAGCACTCAGCAAGGTTTCAGTAAATATCACTAGTGTCACCTTTAGTTTGCACATTATTACCATTTCAAATATATGTACATGTATTTTGAGAGTTACAGATATCTAGACAATCTAAAAGAAAGAAAATTTATAGAGCCTTCACAATTAGTTTGTGGATCTTTATTAAAGTCTTGTAGACATTAGTATTGTAAAGTAAAATACAGTGATGACTTCAGCATAGATATTCATTAATAGGTAGATTCCTTTGAAGTTTTATCAAATGCACCAATTCCCCTTTGAAGTTTTATCAAATGTACCGATGGGTCCCTTTGGTTAAATAAGGTCTTGTGAAATAGTTCTATCAAATAAGGCCTGTTGTGAATGAAAGTATTTCAGGTAGGTGGCTGCTCCCTCAGCCTAGAACGCTGACTCAAAACGGTCGGTAACCTGCCCAAGCCCATTGGAAAAGTAACAGGTATGAAATGAAGTTTTTATTCCCTATGTCACTAAGACTTTAATCTTTGTCTTTTTTGGTAACAAGTGAGTCTGTGACAACAGTTGTAATGATCTGTTTTCAGTGAATGTGTCAATTTCCAGTAGACTCAATGAAAACATCACCATTGAATAAATAAAAACTAACCTTTCAGGCCCTCCCTGGTGGTGCAGTGGGTTAAAGCACAGCACTGAGAATCTAAAGCCGCTTCCACATGAGTTCGATTCCCGCCTGCCCCGGAGGTGACCACATGGTGTGGCAGACCTCTCCTGACCCGCCCGCTGCTCCCCTCAGCAGTGTACTTCATCGATCTGCCTGTTCTGCTCCCCACTCTGTCTCTGGTGAACTCTCTCACCCTCCGCATCTCTGGCCTGTACCCCAGTTCTGTATGAATAAATAAATCTTAAAAAAAAAACAAAAAAAAACTAACCTTTCAAAAAAGAAAACCTTAAAAGTAAAGACTACTTACTCTGCCACAGAAACTAGAGGAAGTCATAGTTTTGCTAGAATCAGTTAGTAGCTTAATATGTTAAAGTTGATAATCGGATGTAGAAAGGGTTTAAAAGGAGAAAGGGGTAGGTAGGATGGGTCTTTGAAACCAACCCCAACCCCCTAACCTTGGCTGTGCAGCAGGGACAGTAGAGGCATGAGAGAAGGAGAAAGCTAAAGGAAGAACTGATGGAGTTTGGAGAAAAATAGAATGTGAGGAATAAAAGAGGTTAAATGTAGTGGTCTTTTATTTTTGGACTATGAAAGTTTCAAAGACCAGTTAAAAATGAGCAATTAGAAAGAAGAAACCTCTTTGAATAAATCACTCACTTAAACCAGTGATTTTTTTTTTCCATTTTGAGGAAGAAAAAGGTTTAAAATATGATTTTATCTAGTCTAAGATTTCCAAGAGCTAAAATGTGCTCTATGTTTATTTTGGAGTTTTCAGTCCTATGTTTCTGTCTTTTTCTACAGGAATGTCTGGTGTTATATATTAATATTTCAATAAAGCTATTTAATGGGGGCCCTCCCTGGTGGCGCAGCAGGTTAAAGCACTGAGATGCTAAAGCCACCTCCGCAGGAGTTCGATCCCCTCCTGCCCCAAGGTGATGCACGTGGCATGGCAGACCTCTCCTGGCCCGCCTGCTGCTCCCCTCAGCAGTGTACTTGTCAGTCTGCCTGTTCTGCTCCCTACTCTGTCTCTGGTGAAGCCTCTTACCGCCCCTGCACCCCTGGCCTGTACCCCACCTCTGCATGCACAAATAAATAAATCTTTTTTAAAAAAGTTATTTAATGGGGAAAAAATCTCTTTTACATCACCTGCATTTTTGTTTTTATTTTTCTCATTATAGCTCAAAAGATATTTCTGGAAAAACCTTTCTTATATGTACATTTCTGTAGTTGAAATACTTAAAAACAAATATGTTTCTATTTTAAATTTCTTTAGAGAAACAAGGTTTACATTGCAAGATGTGAAACAATTGCAGAAGTACAATTTGCTACTATACTAATTTTGATGATAGTAACAAGCAAGCTCTGCAAATGACTGCCAGAAAGGAAACAAAAATATCATCTCTTCAGTAAATGGCAGCTGATAGTATTAAGTGAATGCATTGCCATTGTTGTGCTTTTAGGTAATAACGCTGGCGACAGGAAATGTGCCTCACCACACCATCCACACCCAGCCAGTGGGGAAGCAGTTTGACCGAGTAGATGACTTTTTCATTCCTGCCACAACTCTCATCATCACTCACATGAGGTAAGTGCTGAGATGACTGATCGACTTTTCAATTTCTCTAATTTTTGGTAGAAAGCCATGGGAAATCATTTGAAAAGTTCAGTTATAAAACAAATGCACACACAATTCACACATGATTTAATTTGCTTCATCTGCTTATTAGATTTTTATTAACATCAGTGATGAATTCCCAACAATATCTTTATTTTTATGCCTGATAGAGAAGTGAATGTTTAAAGTTATGTTTCTTTTTAAAAGTCAATTTCAGTGTTAATATTTTTGCCTGTTGTCTCTGGACTTCTTATAGAACTTTTGCAAAATGTTGGCATTTCTGAAAATAATTGAATGATAGATTCCCTTCTTAAATAGAGCAACCATTTGAACTTGGGATGATAAAAGAGATATTCTCATAGAAATCTATTCAATATATTATAAGAACATCTCGTATCATTTTTCCTACAAAAACATTAATAGAAAATTTTATTAGAGATTACAGAAAATTGAAAACTTTGAGGTATGTTAATATGTTGGTTTGTCCTTTTTATGTATTTGCAAAAAATAAAGAAGTAATAAATTCTGATAATATTACTCCAGTGTTTGATCATAGCAATTTAAAAATCTAAGGAGGGGAAATTTTGGTATTTTAAGATTTTAATTTTTGTGTATATTGATAATTTATTGGAACAGAAATGCTTATTGCCTAGCATTTGGTATTTGGTTCTGCATACCATAAAAATGAAATACAAAAATGAATTTAAAACAGATTAATGTTTTGGTTCATTTCTCAAGAGAATTGGGAGCTGTTCCAGATATGCTATACAAACCAATGTTTGGTTCTTGGGTATATTTATTTCTCTTTTAATAGATTGAAAATTATATCAGCCATTAGTTGTAGTAGTAGAATTGTGAAAACATGCAAATTACAGCTTGCAAAAATAAAAAGGAGGATTAGTAAGTAAGAAAGAGCCACAGCTAAGATGTACATATACTGTTCTTCGTGTAGAAAAGATGTTTTCAAAGTTTGATGTATTTGTTTAATGATTGACTCTTATTTTTAGAATGTGTATTATGATATAAGCAGTAAACTGGTTAAAAAATGTAATAAACTGTACAATTATTATGTGTTTATGTTAAATAAATTACAATTACTGAAAATGCAGAATATTTTAAAGTATTTCTATCAAAATAACAATTTTGAAATCTGATTGCAAGCATTATAACATTTAGTTCAGAGACTGAAGAAATAGTGCCAGTTGAGTGGTACTAAAGGAATATATAGTGTTCTATAGATATTTGATAAGAATAAAATTTCATTCAAATGGCATTCTGTTGTGATAAATATATATTCCTTTATCATTTTCACTGGTAAATTATTACTAACCAATGATTGAATATATATCACTTTTATTTGTCCCACTCTCCTATTCACTGTTATCATATTTAATGTATCACTATTTTGTTTTCTATAAAGGCACCATTAATGTAATTATTTTAGGCAAAAATTTCATGTCTGTATCACTAATAGGGTTAACAGTGTCTTGTTTGAGATATTTCCTCCCTTTCAAGAAGTAAATTTTCTCATTATGTTAAAATAGTTACCAAGGACAAGAGTTTATCTTTGTTTTCATGTAGTGAAGACAATGTGCAATTTGTGTTCATATGTATAATTGACATACTGTGAGGCCACAGCATCTCTTTAGGGTAGAAATGATACTCCATAGCTGGAATTAGAGCTAGAGATAATTAAAAGCACATTTAAATAGTGTGAGCTGATTATAAAGAATTCAATTTTAGTTATTTCTTTATATAATGAGAAATTGAGAAATACTGAAAAGTATGCCTGAGAACATTTTCAAGATCGTATTTATTTTAGGTATGTATAGATATGTCAGTATTTTAAAAATACTAAATTAAAGGAGTACTCTGTATATAGAGTCCTATTTTTCATTTTTTTTTGCACTTTACTATATCAGTGTTATACTTTATTTTTTTTAAATATTCATTTATTTATTTATTTATTCTTACAGAACTGGGGTACAGTCCAGAGGTGTAGTGAGTGAGAGGATTCACTAGAGACAGAGCGGGGAGCAGAACAGGCAGATCTACTGAAATACGCTGCTGATGGAGCAGCGGGTGGGATAGTAGAGGTCTGCCATGCCACGTGGGTCAGCTCCCTGGTAGGGGATTGAACTCATGCTGCAGTGGCTTCGGAGAGCTTCAGAATGCGGTGCTTTAACCCATTGTGCCAATAGGGAGAGCCCTAGAGTGCTATTTTAATGAAAATGATCATCATATTTCCTTTTGCATGTCAAATAAATTACTGCTATTACTAAAGTGAACAGTAAGAGTAAAAAATTAGCAGGCATTTCCAAAAATAAATTGTTAAATATGTGTATGTGAAGTATTTTTGATAACAAGTATCTGTTTTACATCAAGAAAGGGATCAATATGGTCTTTTCTCCTACCAATTTCATGGAATATACCCCTCTAATGTGGTGTGTTTAAATATGATTTTATGTTTCCTTAGAATTTGAGGATACATTTTGATGATTGTGCTTGGTAGATAATTTCATGTTGGGCAGAAGCTCAGTCATATGATACTAGTTTAATTAACATCCATTTTCTTCCTCTGACCCCACATGATCCTAATCTTTGCTCTAAGACTGCTACTTCCTCATTTCAAATAATTTATATCTCATGTCTGAAGACTTCCTGGATAAGTATCATGGTTTTAGAGCCTCAATAACTAAAATAAGTGTAGACACTGAATTCATGTTTTTCACAGGGAAAGTACCATACTATTTTCTAAGCTTTATTATATAGTATTAAAAGAAAAATGTACTTTTTTAGTTTAATTTAAATAGCAGTGTTTTGCAAAATTGTATATTATTCAGAGCTTCAGGATCACATCATTTCAGTTGTATTACTGTATAAAGACACCATAGTTTGCCACTACAGTCCATTGAAACCAATCTATAACCTACCCCTCAGGTACCCTCAATTCTACATCAGATTTCTAGGGATTGTTATTGGTTGTATATTATCTAACCTTTCCCCCCCCCGTATTACAAATATAAGTGAAACCAGCCCATTATTTGTTATTCTCCTTCTGACTTACTTCACTTTGCATTATTCCTCCAGTTCCATCCATGTTGTTACACATGGCATGAATTAATCTTTTTCAGTGCTGAGTAGTATTCCCTTGTATTTATGTTTCTGTCCCGCTCATCTGTCCTTGGGCACTTAGGTTTTTGCATAACTTGAATCTTGTAAATAATGCTGCAATGAATATAGGAGTGCACATACCCCTTCAAATAGCCATCTTTTTGTGATCTTTGGGGTGATACCTAACATACTGTATTTCTTAGTGCCTAACACAAAATCTAACATGTAGAACATGCTGTAGCAAGAACATTCCAGTCTTGTGGAAGTAAATTATAACTCTTTCAAGTAATGACGTGCATCTTTTGTCTAAAAAAAAACACTTTCCACTTAATATCATTACCTTACCCTTCTTATTGCATTTATTTTTATTTTTTTTAAATATTTATTTATTTATTCGTACAGAACTGGGGTATAGGCCAGAGATGCGGAGGGTGAGAGGATTCACCAGAGACAGAGTGGGGAGCAGAACAGGCAGATCGATGAAGTACACTGCTGAGGGGAGCAGCGGGCGGGTCAGGAGAGGTCTGCCGAGCCTTGTGGTCGCCTCCGGGGCAGGCGGGAGTCGAACCCATGCTGAGGTGGCTTTAGTTTCTCAGTGCAGTGCTTCAACCCGCTGCGCCAACAGGGAGGGCCCTGCATTTATTTTTAAGGAATGAAATAATGTTTGAATTTTAAGTTAGTCAGTAACAGCTGTTCAGGATACTCAGTGTACACTGATAGGAGTTCTCCTGTGATTATAATTTTTCCAAAAGTCTTATTTTCCCTGTTTGACTTCATCTCATTTTTTTCTCCATATTTGCTGTTTTTCCCCATGTCTGTAGTTCCCAGAGAGTAAAAATAACTTTAAAAATTTGTGGGGGGCCTTGACCAGCAAGGCCGAGGATTGGGGTCCCAGGGTCGACTAGAGGAGAAGGCAGAGCCTTGACCTTGTGGCGGGCCTTTACCCGCATGGCTAAGGGGTAGAGCCCCAGGGACAGCGCGAGGAAGAAGGCAAAGACAGAGACACGTCTGAGAGTTCTTTATTCTTACAACAGTCATATATATATATATATACTTGAGGGCGGCACAGAAGGTACAGGCGGGGGCTGGGGGGGTGGTCTGATGGTCTTAAAGGCCAGTGGGTTTGAGGGGAGGGATCCATCGTCATCTCTTTGTCTCTTTGGCACCAAAGCTTGCCGGGCGGGAAAGGCAGGAGTGGGGGAAGGGATTCGGGTGTGCTGCATTCTCAGCCAGGATGTTTACTCTAAGTTCCAATCAAGTGTTGTTTTGTGCATAGGAGGCAAAGTCCTGGTCTCGGTCCCCGACAAAAAATCTGTATCTAAAGATAAAATTTTAATTTGAAAATGTAATCTTCACAAAATTTGGGAAGTTTGTCCATTTTCAGAGATAGTTTAAAGTTATCAGCACTCTACAAATTCATTCATATCTAGTACTTATGGAAAGCAACAAATAATGAATGAAATAAAAATAAATATGTTGGACTACAAGAAAAATGTGTGGCTTTGTTAAAACATAAATATAATTTTTTTTAAATTAAGAATTCCAACATGAATTTTTATATTCTTCATGTACTACAGAATAAAGCAAAATATCAGGATGAAGAAAAATTAACTGGACTGTTGAAAATGGATTTATAATTCTCAGATAATCATGTTTATTATTATTATAAAATTTTAAATAAATCTTTATCACTTTTAATCTAATCCTCTCTTTTATGTAAAGTAACTATAGAGTAAAATAGTCATTATTCTATTTATAACTTATGTTTAAATAAGTTATTTTAATTGTATTACATAACAAACACACATTTGAATGTTATTGTTCTGCTACTCTTAACTTTTTATGACATGAATAAT